TCGGTAATCGTGAGGGCGATTCGAGGGTACCGCACCATATCGTATAGGGCGGCGACGGCTCTGGCCGGCTCCCCCCCGTGGAGATCCTTGCCGAATTAAGGCACACCCTCTATTGGAGGGTGAAGGAACTCCGCGAGGAGGAGGAAGGTCCATCGGCCAGGGACCTGAGTGTCTTGGAATCCCAGGCCAGATCCCGAGTCCTGGAACGGTGGTCAGCCATATTGGCTGACCCCAAAGGATTCGGGATCCGAACAGCTGAGGCTGTCAACCCCTGTCTGCCAGAAGTGGCAGACAGGCGGGGACGCGGGCGCACCTTCCATATCGTGCAGGTGCTGACCGGGCACGGGTGCTTCGGTTACCTGCACCGGATTGGAAGGGAGCCCACCACGGGCTGTCACCACTGCCCGGAACCACAGGACACGGCGGAGCACATCCTAGTCGTACCAGGCTTGGGCTCCGCAACGCCGTGTCCTCGCTCGAGCATTGGGGTGTCAAGAAGGGGCCCTCTCGCTCCTGCACTTGCTCAAAGCAATGTGCGGGAGCGAGGAGGTTTGGGGAGCGACGGCCTCCTTTTGCCGGGACGTCATGTTCCTCAAGGAGGCCGCCGAGTGGGAGCGCCGCCCAGAAGTCCGTTGCAGGGAGCGACGGAGGGGGCAGCACTCCCCAGGGGTGGGAAGCGGGCCCGAGGTGGTGCCGGCCGAGGAGGAGAGGCCACCGGCTCGTCGAAGGCCGCCTTTTCGGCCACTTCGGTCCTGCCTTCAACGTACCGAAGGGGGTGGGTGGGAGAGGGGGTAAGCCCTCTTGCCCGCTCCGGACGTCGGTGATGGCAGGGAGAAGGGGAGCGAGGACCGGTTGGGGCCGCGCCTCGCACCCCTGCCCCCCTTCCCACCCAGTAGGGAAGGGGGAAGGCGGGGGACAGGAGAGAGGGCGGGTGTCCTCTCTCTCCTAATTAACACCGGAAGGCCAACCCGGCCGGACAACCGGCCGGGGCACCACGTCCTTGACTCCCAATCTGCGAGGGGCGCTGTACTTGGGCGTGGGGCTCTACGAGAGCCCTGGGGCCGGGGTGTCGGGGAGGGAATGCAGGCGTAGTTCCCCTGACTCCCCTCACCACGGTCCGAGCGGTAGGCAACCCGCAGGGGTTTCAGTCGGTAGAAGTCCGACATAACCCCCGCCCTTCCCAAGAGGCGGGGGTTATATCTGAGGATTTCTCCAGCGTGACCAAAAAAAAAAGCTATAGAGACACCGCGCTGTCTCAATAGGTGTCTCGCTCGCTCTAATAGCTATGTATCGCGCTTTCCTCTTTTCTCCTTAGCAGAAATGCCGATTAAGAAAGGAAACCTGTCTGTAGGCCAGAAAAATAAGCTATTGCCACGAATTTTTTTTTAGAAAACTAATAAGATGATTGATTTCAAACTTGATAGAAATAATAATATATATTTTACTGATAATAATGAATTTTTATAGCGTTATATGAATAATAATGTAGCAAATACACAAAATATAACGTGATGTGTTTAGGCGTGCGCCGTTTCACGGTTCCTATAAAATCTCGAAATACGGTGGATTGGGACAAAACGCAAGTAAGATAATTAATCTACGAATTTGCCGCTAACTCGTTTGAACTAAGGAAATAAAAAATGAACTACTTTTTCAATATTTTAAGGCATTTAAAAATTATATTTGAAAAATCGTCATAAAAATCGATGGTTTTACGTTAAGAATATTTTATTTGCAAGAAAACGATATTTTATGAAATTTATGAAAAAACTTATTTTATGCCGTACGATATGTCAAATTGTGCAATTATTTTTAGACACAACACATCTTTACTTTTGAAAAGATTACGGGAAGGAGGGAGAATAAATGCAACATCCTCCTTAAAATGCTATTTAAAGTGTAGGTTCCGCTCTTGAAAATATCAAAAAAGAATTAGGGGACTCTTAATAATAATAAAAATTATAATAATAATAACGAGACCCTATACAGCATCTCCTGAAATCAGAGAAAAAACCTTTTTTTATAAAAAAGTTTTTATATAAAAAAGTCGATCGATCGACTTCAGCATGTAGTTACATATTCAAAACATGTCTGTCTATCGTGTGAACTAGCGAAATTAAAAATATTAATTTTTTATATGCACTGTGACGTGGCAGCCGGAAAGGCGCCCGTCCCAGAGCGAACCTTCAGCCCGTATGCGAGGGTGCGGGGGGGGCGGACAGTACATCGCGCGAGAATTACGGGGGGGGAGCGCCACCTTGCACTCCCCCGCATTAATTAGTGTTAGTGATAGGAGCGTGCGGGTGGAACGGTCCCGCGTCCCCGAGCTCTGTGCCCCTGGACCTCCTGCGCCGCCCATCAGGACCGGAGGGACCCGTGGAAGAAAGAAGAGGACGACGCCCCCCCGGCCAGACCGCCACCCCAGGTGAATGCACTTCGTTACGAATGTTATTATCGATTCCGTATCGTAGTGAAAGATTCTCGCTGCCGATTTCGTTGTCCACAGGCCTGCAGGGAGATAGCACCAAACGGTCGGCGTTCCCGTGCTCGAAACGTGAACGCCGGCTAGACAAAGCCGGCCTGGGCGACACGACAGCGGGAGTGCGAGCGAGAGAGAGAACGCGCGAGAGTGAGACCGAGACCCGTTCCGCGGATCAACAACAAAGATCCGCGGAAGGATTCCCGTATTGGGAGATGAAACGAGGAACGGGGAGAGAAACGTAGCGAGACATAACAATGAAGAAAGGAGCGACACTGTTTTTGGGGAGAATAAAAGAGCGAGCTCCCGTCTTCGCTCTCTCTTCTCTCCTATCTCGAGTCTCGGGGATCGTGAGTCTGCTATCGGCTAATACGAAAAAAGTATCGCTTAGAGTATCGCCTGGATCGCTACGAAAAGGAGTGTCGTGCCGATAACGAACCAAAAAGGATACCGTTTACCGGGAGTGAGAGGAGAAGGCTTGGTGGAGTTCCACGCACCCAGGGGGTTGCCGTTGGTGGCGGAGTTGCGGAGGAGCGAACAGAGGGACGAGGAAAGCGAAGGACCACGCCGCCGGGAGGTTCCCGACTCTGTAAGACCGTCCACCTGCTTCACTATTTCGGTATCCCGGGCGTACCGTGTCTCGTAGTAATTAGCGGCGTAGAGCAAATTTCGAATTCGCGAGAGCATCTCGCGGAGTGTACCGTTTCGAGGGGTCGGATCGTGCCGGTCCGCGGAAAGAATAAAGACTGAGATAAGCGAAGCGCGTCTAGATTCTTGTGTCTTCCCGACTAAATCCCGGACTCCCGATCGAACCCTCCCGTCTACCGACTGTAAAATACCGCGGAGCTACCGGTCCCGCCGAATTCGAGTGTCTCGGTCTTGGGTAGTGTACCGTCTCGTGTTGGTGAACGGTGCAGCCGCTGCACCTGGCGCCCAACCTCTTTGGTGCAAGCGCGAACGACTGAGGCGCGTGGACCGACGGCCGTTTGCCGACGGCGAGCGAAAATCGCGTCGCAGCACCGCACTGTTTCTATAGGTGTCTCGCTCGCAATAAAAGCCATGTATCGCGCTTTTTTCTTTTATAACGCAATAAAAATTCATTCTTATCAGTAAAATATGTATTATTATATCTGTCAAGTTTGAAATCAATCGTCTGCTTTGTTTCCGAAAAAAAAATTCGTGAAAATAGCTTATTTTTCTGGCCTATAGACAGGATTCCCTCCTTAATTGGCATTCTGCTAAGAAGAAAAGAGGAAAGCGCGATACATGGCTATTAGAGCGAGCGAGACATCTATAGAGACAGTGCGGTGTCTCTATAGCTGTCTCACTCATATTCCCTGCATTCAAGCGTAGAGTGAGTGAGACAGCTACTGGGGACACCATTAACCGTACCACGTCTGGTAATGCTTTCTCTCTCGATCGTGCGACGTGCGATAAGGATGCAACATTGGAACGTCTCCCACCACTTCTCCTTCTTCGCTTCTCTTGCGCTGTACAGTATGCCCATATGCGTGTGCGTATATGCCTGTCATCGCTTTCGATTGTTTTACAGGCGTATACGACATCGCCGAGGGACACCATACCTGCCTCTGAGTGTACCTAGTTTTGCTATGTGTATGTAGGTTTCAATGTCAAATCAATTTCGACGATTTCGTTTGATTTTCGACATCGAAACGATGTTTTTTTAACGAATTATTTCTAATTGAGGATGGTTTCCTTGTAAGTAGATTGTATATAAACCGAACTATTATACACAAACGTTGCACTGTTACCGAGTAAATGGCTGCGTTCAGTAGAACAAAATGATCAGTGAGCGCTCAGTGATTATTGTCTGTGATTGGAGCATTCTTTTAGATTCTTCATAGACTTAGAAGTATTTACCAATCAGGAGCGAGAATCACTAAGCGCTCACTGATCACAATGGCCGCGTTCAGTAGAACAAAGTGATCAGAGAGCGCTTAGTGATTATTGTCTGTGATTGGAGCATTCTTTTAGATTCTTCATAGACCCAGAAGTATTTACCAATCAGGAGCGAGATTCAGTGGAAAATCTAGTAATGTTGTCCAACTGTTGAGTCTGCTGAATGCAGCCATAGGGTGCATCCAGAATCACGAATGCTCACTGAGCGCTCAATGAGCTTTTACATTTGGTATATTTTACATTGGTATATTCTTTTAGATTTAAGAATATACACCAATCAGATGCAAGAGCTCACAGTGAGCATGTGGTTCTGGATGCACCCAATGGCTGCATTCAGCAGACTCAACAGTTGGACAACATTACTAGATTTTCCATTGAATCTCGCTCCTGATTGGTAAATACTTCTGGATCTATGAAGAATCTAAAAGAATGCTCCAATCACAGACAATAATCACTAAGCGTTCTCTGATCACTTTGTTCTACTGAACGCGGCCTTTGTTCTGCTGAACGCAGTTATTGATATAATTGACATCCATTTCCTCAGGCGGCGCCACATTTTCTTAAAACAGAGGTCCACTTTCAGCGACTCTCAGGGTTCTCTTTGGTATATTGTCTATGCCTAGCTCTTAGAAATGACTGAAAAGTAAATCTAAGAATACTTTTTTCTTAAAATTGGAAACTTTATTGTCGTATTTGATATATATGAGTGAAAAAAAAACATATTTGCTGATGTGTTAACGAAGCTGCAATTGTGTACATGTGTGATGAATAGTCGTACAAGTATTTTTGGGTGCCTTAATGTTTATTTGTAAATTCTAAGCCTTTAATTATAAATTTTCGATCACATATAACGTTATATGTTTGCAAATAATGAAAGAACTATTACAACAATAAAACGTGCAGTTCATCTGTAGTTCTGGATATTAAAAGCAAGATATATCCTACGATTAATGAAAAACACTACAATATGGCTTCAGCATCAAGTACAAGTGCACGTAGTCTATTTATTGAATCAAAAATGCGATTAGCAGATAGAGTGCAAGTTAACGTCAATAATATTGCCTCCCTTGCCAGACAGATACAAAGAGGCTCTAGAAGTAGTGAAGTAATATTTTGTTTGTCAACTTTTATTTCTTTAATATATATCTGATTATCAACTTACTATCAAGATATATATATATATATATCTTAATTCTAGATATCCAATATTATTAAATTAATAATGTTATTGTTTTATTATTGATATATGCATTCTCCATAAATTCTTACACAGGTTTTAATGCATGCAGCAAGAAACTTCGCACAGCAGGAGCATGGGATAGAAATGATAGAATCCAATCTAAAGAAGCTTGCTCTTATAGCTACTCATTTAGAATACCAAATGGATTCAATTGATAAAAGCTCTATAATATTGGAAGAAGTTATGGAACAAGTACGATCTATGCAGCGATAATATATTATAAATATATATTGATTTATTGTTGTATATGTATTATATATGATTAACATATAAAAGGATATTTATTTATAAATATGATTTGTTAATTATATATAGGTTTAAAAAATTTACAATGTATAATTGAAATTTACAACATAAAATGAAAATATATCTTACTTAACTTTTTTTGTGTTATTTAAGAATTGTAAGATAAAAATTAAGAAATATATAAAGATTTAAAAAATACAGGAAATAAATAATACAATGTTTGAATTTCCTTATTATTTATTTCAGACAATTGGTTTCAATGTTAAAAATATTTTATGAGTTGTAAACATCAAGATACACCAATATATTCTTGCAAATATTCTTATGAAATTACAAAAACCAATATTCTGACAAACTGATAAAAACAAAACCAGTTATTTAGAATTAAAAGTGACATCTTGCATTATATGTAATAAATGCAAATATTTTTGAGAAAAATAAAACTAAATTTAATCACTACGAATTGTTTCTATATTAGATAAAAATAGTTTGGTAAGAGGTTTATTTTGTAGAAAATAATATGAGAAAAATCTGTGTAATGTCAAATTTATCAAGGATAAAGAATATCATAATGGCCAGGACGATATAATAAGTGCACTGCTGGTATGGCACCTTCAGGAAAGTCATGGGCAGTTACTTCAGTTCCTGCACCTCTATCCATATATCGAACTCTGACACCAGTTCCTAATGCACTGCTCATTGCTATAATATGAATATGGTCAGATTCTTTGTACATTGGTTCAACTTCCTATAAAAAAAGCATAGCATATTATAAATAAATTATAACTTTATAGAAAATTGAAAGATGTTAACATCAACAAGATATGAACCTGATGACAGAATTCAGTGATAGTGCGTTCTCCTTCAATAAAATGTTGATAGAAGTCAGCATCACGTTGTAACTGACCAGATGTAATCAATCTAAGATATACAACAACATAATCAGAATAACCTTGCTCATTGAACAATTTGTGCAGCTCCATATGACTGGACTCTGTATCATCACCCCCTACTTTGTCAATAACTTCCATAAACTATAATAAAAAGAAACTATATATTCTTTGCAACACATGTACATACACTCATACATATACATACATGTGCGTACACATGCGCGCGTACGCGCGCGCGCGCGCGCGCGCGCGCACACACACACACACACACACACACACACACACACACACACACACACACACACACACACACACACACACACACACACACACACACACACACACACACACACACACACATATAATTATGAGTGATATTATTTTAAAGTATAGAAAATTTTACTTACTGTATCATGAAAGTCTTCAACTGTAAATTGAGGAAAACCTAGAGCTACAAGGTTATCCTTACTTTTTAAAGCTAAGTCTCGAAACTTATCATATTCTTCCTTATTCTCAATTAACTTTTCCAAATAAGCATAACTAAATGCTCTGAAGAAACAGTTACCATCGGGTCTTGTTCTTCTAATGCAGGAGTATTTTTGCGCTAAAGCTTTTGCCTTTGAAAGATATATTTCGTCTTCTTTATATTCTTGTTCTAAGCTCTTCAATGATTCCTTTTCACTAACTAAAGCTATAGATTCTGAAATCTAAAATATAGAAAAAAATTACCTATCTAAAATAAATTTTCATGTAAATTTTATCTCTTGTCCATTAAAACAAAGAAATTTTGATATTTTAAATAATGACATTTTAAATAAGTAATAAGGCTAATTATAGCTATATGAATTATATTTTTAATGTAATAAATTAATAAAGACGATTAACTGTCTTAACTTATCTGTCAAAAATATACTTTGAATATAGTATGTATAGCATATTAACCTCCTTCTCAATTCGTCTCTGTTGTTGAAGTATCAATTCATCTTGGTTGACATCTACAAGAAAAATCAGGAAATAAAATATTCCATTTAATTTCTCAATGATGGATCAAGATTAGAAAAAACCTGTGTTTTCTACGGATAGCTCCTTTAGCGGCTTGTCTTCCATATTTCACAATATTTTAATAAATTTCACACAACTGTCAAATTATCAGTCGTAAACAAAACTCGATATTTTCATGTATGTTGTAAAGCTGTTTGCCGCTGTGTTTTACATTTTTATGTTGGCAGTAATATCAAAATAATATGATCTAGGTATCTTAAAACAGAAGAATTAATAAAGTTGGTAACAACATAATCGACTTCACAATCGATTCATTTTCGTCTTGTAAATGTCGCATATGATGGCTGCGTTTCGAAATTCATCGCCAGTGAAAATATATAATTTGTGTTACGTATACTATAGAGTTTCAGTGCTAGCAGTGAATATTGGAATGCAGCCGATATTTCATGAATATCACTAAGTATCATCATTCTCAGTCAATTAAATTGCCTCATTGATGAAATATCATATACAATATTTTTCATAAATTTCAGAGAATAAAGACTCAGGGGCTCAATTCTTGAAAAATGTCACATACGATATTTCATGAATGTCACTAGACATTACGATTCTTAAGGCCCATCTACAATGGCTGCAAGAATAAAGTTCTAAACGTAAGCAATAAAGCCAGCGGTACACGGTGCTTGTTTTCATGCTGGATTGCTTGCTGGATGAAAATACTGCATTCTGATTGGTGCATTTCCATCCATCTTCGGACATGTACCAATCAGAACGCAGTATTTTCATCCAGCAAGTAATCCAGCACGAAAACAAGCACCGTGTGTCGCTGGCTTAAGAAATAGACCAACCACAATCGATTATTATAAGAATAATCGATTATGGTTGGTCCATTTCTTACTGCTTACGCTTCAACCTTATTCTTGCAGCCATTGTAAATGGGCCTTTAGGTTACATTGTCGTACATATTACATGTGTCGTACGACAAGCTTTTTGGATATGATAGATATGCATTCAGCAGACTCAACAGTTGGACAACATTACTAGATTTTCCACTGAATCTCGCTCCTGATTGGTAAATACTTCTGGGTCTATGAAGAATCTAAAAGAATGTTCCAATCACAGACAATAATCACTAAGCGCTCTCTGATCACTTTGTTCTACTGAACGCGGCCAATGTTATCTTAAGCGCGTCCATAAAGCCCGTATCAAACTACCGACTGGAGACGCCGACCCGACTGCCAACTACGACTGCCGACTCTCAATGGACCAATAACAGTGAAGCGCCGACTGACTGGATCGACCGACTCGCGTTTAGACTTCAGTCTATTTTCTCAGTCGGCGACTTGGGTCGTAGCCAATCACGATAGATCGGATTTAATTAATTTATTTGGTTTTTTAGAGCTGGTTTTTCCAACCGCTTGATTAATTAACTGATAGTTCAATTATATGTCTCTCATTGTTTTTCTTTTGAATTAAACAAAGACAGATATATAATTTAACTGTTAGTTAACTTACCAAGAGGTTAGAAAAACGCCCTTAATAAAAAGTTTTAATAAAAGTTTATTTTTTTTATTAAAAGTTTCACCTAAACAGATAGGATAGTAAATAACCTTAATAAAAAGTTTTAATAAAGTTTTTTTTTTAATTAAAAGTTTCACCTAAACAAAGATAGGATAGTAAATAATCATACATATATACATATATATACATCCCACATAGCACCGCAATATTGCAGGAATATTACAGAAATGTTGCAGCAATATTATTAAAATATTGCATAAATATGACAACAATATTGCAGAAATATTTAATGTCCTAGGCATAAGTCTCGCAGAAATATTGCGGAAATATTGTTATGATGTTGTAGGAATATTGTCACAATATCACAGGATTATTGCCACAATGTTGTTGAAATATCGCCACAATCTTGCAGGAATACCTATGAAATATAGCCACAATACTGCAGAAAAATTGCAAAATATTGCCGAAATATTACTGCAGTCGTGCAGGAATGTTGCTACAATATTTCTTAAATGTTGCTGCAATATTGCAGGAATATTACTGAAATATTGCATAAATATCACAGCAATATTGCAAAAATACTTAATGTCCTAGGCATAAATTTCGCAAAAATATCTCAAGCGTGGTCTACAATGGCAGTAAGCAGTAAGAAGTAAGCGTAAGCGGTAAAAAATAAACCAATCACAGTCGATTATGACAAAAATAATCAACTGTGGTTGGTCCATTTCTTACTGTTTACGCTTTCTTCTTATTACGGCTTATGGCCAATGTAGACCACGCTTTAGAAACACTGCGTTAAATAAAAAAATGTTCCAGACAAAAGTTGTTTGACTTGAAGGGGGACATAAGACAGCGATAGCATTTTGTTAATAGATGATGCCACTTTCAAGATATTCACTGACCATCAATTTTTATAAATGAAAATCCCAACTTTTTATTATATCTTCTTTTTCTACCAATTAATTTGAACAACTTTTGTCTGAAACATTTTTTATTTGCTTAATATTTTTTGAGATATTTAAGAAAAACTTGGTAACTTTCCCAACATTTATCTTATGATATCTCGTTAATTATTCGTCGACAGAAAAAATAGTATTAGACTTTTTTACTTTATTTAATATCAAGAATATATTAATAGTGCCCTAACCTTTGTTAATTTAATAATTTTGAAATTTCCAAAGGTCGATAAGTTAACAAAAGTTAGGGCACTATTATAATAATATATTCTTGATAGTAATTAAAATAAAAAAGTCTAATACTATTTTTTCTTTCGATGGATAGTTAGCGAGATATCGTAAGTTAAATGTTGAAAAAGTTACCAAGTTTTCCTTAAATATCTCAAAAAATATTAACCAAATAAAAAAATGTTTCAGACAAAAATTGTTCAAATTAATTGATGGAATAAGAAAATATAACAAAAAATTCGGATTTCCATTTATGAAAATTGATTGTCAATGAATATCTCAAAAGTGGCGCCATTTATAAACAAAATGCTATCGCTTTCTTGTCCTCCTTCAAGCCAAACAATTTTTGTCTGAAACCTTTTTGATTTAACGCAGTGTTTCTGAGATATTTGTGATGTGACATTAAAATGGGACACCCTGTATATAAATTGTTTCACACTGCAGTATTACGGCGATAATCAGAAATATTACGTGGCGGTCTGTCATGCTGGAATATAGCGGCAATATTCCTGTGATATTGCAATGAGATTTATCATCAATAATGTTGTAATATTGCCACTATGTTACCATACGATAGTCACATTGTAACATTGCAGTAATATTCCAGTGATATTGTAATATTCCAGTGATATTGTCTGATATATCATCTGTTAAGTCAAAATGCAAATATTTTCGGTAATCATAGCTTCAGAATCATAAATTTTATAAGATTTGTAAGATGCTATAAACCATAATTGCTAAAATTTTTTTATTGCTAAAGTTTTTATTAAAATCAGTATCTTATCATTATCATTTTTATAATAAAAATACAGATGTAATATTAACGTATATATATATATGAGATAATTTTCAATAATAGAAATATAAATATAATGATAGCATAAAGAATAATGTTTATAGAAGTTCTCAATAAGAACTTTTCGCAAATCGAAATAATTTTATGTCTTATTCAGTAAAGGATTCTGAAACTGAGTACAGCAACCGTCAATAGCGTGACTATAAACTTTGAGCTAACAGATATTAAAGAAATCGCTAATAATTCTTTTCGGGAATAATTTTTTAAGAGTTTTCGGGTAAGCTTTTTACAATTTGACCATTTAGATCTAAAACGGCGTATTTTCTTCAGTCTGTCTTTTATGAAAATCATTGATTTCTTAAAAAAAATTGTTATTTTATACCAGAAACTACAAAGATCGCGTTATTAACATTTGTACCTTAAAAATATATGCGTAGTTTTTTTTCTAAATTTTTTTCAATATGGCGAACTCAACATTGTAGCCGAAATCACGAATTTCATCTTATATCGATTTTTCTAACGTTTTTTCACTTTATAATGCTGATTTATTCAATCTGTCTGATATATCACTCCGCAACATTGTTATAATATTCCTGCGATATTGTAGATTGATATATCACATTGAAGTATTACTGCGATACTCAGAAATATTACGTAGTGGTCTATCATGCTGGAATATAGCGGCAATATCCCTATGATATTGCAATGAGATTTATCATCGCGCAATATTGTTGTAATATTGTCACTATGTTGCCATATAATAGTCACGTTGTAACATTGCAGTAATATTTCACTGATATTGTAATCTGATATATCATTCTGCAATATTGTTATAATATTTCTGCGATATTGTAGATTGATATATCACATTGAAGTATTACTGCGATATTCAGAAATATTACGTAGCGGTCTATCATGCTGGAATATAGCGGCAATATTCCTGTGATATTGCAATGAGATTTATCATCGCGCAATATTGTTGTAATATTGTCACTATGTTGCCATACGATAGTCACATTGTAACATTGCAGTAATATTCCAGTGATATTGTAATCTGATATATCACTCTGTAATATTGTGATAATATTGCTGGAATATTATATAATAATCTTGTGATTTTGCAATATTGCTACGATATTATAATATTGCTTCAATATTGCTGCAATATTGTAGTGCTGTGTGCGTATGTATATAAATAAATTTTCAGAATGTATTGTATGTATTGTACAATAATACATAAAATATCATAAGCTAATATTTCGACAATATTGTGACATTTTTGTCTTGTAAATAGTAAAAAAATAATTTACTTGGTTCTGGTGTAGCTTCTTTTTCGGAAGAATAACAAACTTTTTGTTTTCTTTTTCTTTTCTCAGGAATGTCATTAACATTTTTATTGCTGTTAAGAACTGCTTCGTCGGATGATAAGAATTCTGTGTTCTTCTCCATCTTTCGTGCAATTTCATATGTTTCTACAAAAAATGTTACCATAACATAAAACATATAAGATAAATGTACTTTTAAAAAAGAATTTTACCGTATGGTCCTAAGATATATTTGAGTTGTGTACTTTGCCATGACATTTCAGGAACTACTTGTTTCCGCACGCATTTTGTTACATTACTGTTTTTGGGGGCCATAAACACGTCTTTTCCTCGTTATTAACCCATGACTGGGGAACAACTGAGCACCAGTTTGTACCTATCACTACACACTACAACATCTAGAACAGTTTAATTAGTCAGTAAAATGTATACAATAAAAGTAGACATGAATATTAAAAGTTAATTGAAAACTGTTATTTGTGTCAATTCAAAATTTACTGTCATTAGTAAGATATGAGATAATATGGAGTGTTTCATAACACCTGCACATCTGTTAATATAGGTAGAGTTCATGAAACTGAATATAAAAATCCTCTATTTGGTAATCTATCACATAAAACTGTTAGTAGTGATTGAAAATGGTTATCTTTAAATAATTCTTCAATAATTACACAGTTTGTGCGGTTACTTGCAAAGTAGTATATGATAAATTTGCAGTGCAAAGTATCACTATTAATATATATTTTATAAATATAAATTTTTATATACCTTCCAATATATCGGAATGTAGTAGTGGAAAAGCGCAAAATCGCTCCTCCCCATTCCATGGGAGTACAACAGCTTTCTTAGATATTTCAGAAATAGGAAAACATTTCAACTCAGTTAAATCGTCATCGATCACAAAAACATTTATATGCCTCGAATCACATGGATATAAAGTATAACTTGAATAATTAATATATTCTTGACCAATGATAACAGGAGTTCCATTTTGCAATCCTATATGACGTATTTTGACAATTTTATTATTTTGTAAGAAGCAAAAACTATCTGCTACTTTAGAGCATGATAATTTAAAATAACGCATCTGTAGTATGTCATAACTTTCGGAACATTGAAATGGTATTTTGTTGTTATTTTGTGAAACTGGAATGGGATATTTTACTGCATTTGGCCATATTTTCAATTTACTTGCTGCATTTCTTTCTATTATTCTTCGATCTATTTGCTGAAGAGGTTTCTCATGCTTTCTTAATATTTTTTTTAAACTGTGCAAATGATTTTCAAATGGAAACGCACTGAAACTATCCAAAGGTCCAAACTGTTTTGCATCATCACTCGAATGGATCAAATTATGAACTGTATAGATCATATTTTCTGTACCATACAAATCAGAATAGCACTGAACAAAATAAAGTAATAGTTTTTTCGCATATTCATTTTTCTTTTTATAATCCTGTGGGTGACACAAAATTCTAATTACACAATGGAAAACAAGTAAATGCTTCATGTAGGTAGATGGAAGATATTTATACAGCAAAACAGGAGAAAGGAATAGTAAAAATAGTCGAAATTCTGTTGCTTTCCACTTATCCACTTCTTTGAAACTATTTGGCACTCTTACAAATTCAGAGCAAACATATTTTTTTAAATATACCATATCTGAGGTCATGTTTTTTATTTGTTCACCAGATAATCGGGCTGCAATGCGAGGACCTTTTAACCATAAATGTAGTAATTTTTTCATCTGACCAAGACGAATTAAGTGCATGTAATCAAGTGGAAAAATAGTGACCATTGGTAATGGAATTTCTTCAAAAGAAGATATACCAGTATGATGTTCTGGATTCTGTCGGAATTTAAATGATTCATCTGTCCATAAAGAACAGTTGTTATCTAAAAAAAGCATTCTATGATTCTCATAATCACCTTCAACAATACATTTACTACAGCCAAAATAAGCATTGTGGCTTTTTGTACAAGTTACAAATGATCATGCAGGACTATCATATATTATTGCTTTGATTTGAACTTGATAGATTTTATTTTTATACATAAATCCAGTCGTACTCAGTTCTTTATATTCAGTAATGAAATGTCGCAAGAAATCATTTGTGTTAGGTTTACAATATCCATGATAAGCACCAACTATAAAAGTTGAATTAAAATCTACGAAAACAATTTGAGCCAAAATAGGCCATAGCTGACTCTTTGAGCTTTTTGCAATAGGAAGCCTGTCAGTATTTAAATTAATAATAATAGGATTTTTTACTATCAACTTACTTTGCTGACATAGTATATTGATGATTCCATTTTTTAAACCATGATGATAATAATCACCACCTGATGTCTTATAAATATTTGTACATCGTGGAGTGTTCAATAATGTTCTTGCATCATTAGGAAAATCGTCATGACCTTCAGTTTTTAATATTTTGAGCAATGACGATAAAGCATGATGTTGAACTTTGTGTTCATTTGCCCAAAACATTAACTTTTCTTTAAAAGAAATGCCTCTTGTATAAGATGATGTGCAATGTTGTCTTATATAAGATGTGCAATTATCAATTATATTTGGTCCATCAACAGTATTTGATATTGAATATTCTGTAAGACATTTTTCCTCAGTTAATACATTATAATCTATCATAACGCCTGTTATATTTGGTTTATTAATAATATTCGTTACTGAAGAATTATTATTAAAGTTTTCAGCAAATCCTTTTCAGCAAATGAATTATGACATTCATTTCCAATATGTAACAAATTTACATCAACTTGTTGACTTAATGTTGAAATATTTTCTTTTCCAAAATATTCACGTTTCAATTTTTTGTAACCGGCGATTCTGTTGTCTGCGTGACAACAAGTGGAAACTTTTAACCTTTGGCATGCCTATGCAACATGCTAATTTCTTTTATATATCTTAGATAGCATAGCTTTCAAAGAGAGGTTTTACAGATATTCAGAAAGTATCTTGTCCTAAGGACATCTCTGAAACGTCGCCTGGAAATTTTTACTGTCTGAAATGTTTTCTCTTAATCTTTTTCTTTCACCGTAACTGATTATATGCAGCGTATAATATAAGGACATATTCTTTTTAATTTATTTGTTATTATTATATTATTATAATTATTATTATATCGTTTACCTTGTAATAAATGTCTTGCCAAGTACTGTTTAACACATCTAATAGGCTTGTTCGTTTTGCTTGCACTGCTGAACTGGTGCAACAAGTTGGAATGAGAAAATCTACGTTTGTCTCACTTTAACTTAATGCACCAGTTCAACAGTGCAGACAAAACGAACAGGCCTAATGCTTCATGGTGTATTCGCTTGGATGCACTGAGTGCGATTAAGGCTTGTTCATAGTCCATTCTTAAATTTAAAGTTGTTTCAAATACATTTTCATTAACTTCTTAGTCATCAAAATGATTCGTACGGATGTTATATAGAGCATTTCACTGGTTAAAAAGTATTTGAAGATTTATGTAAGCCGTTCTTAAATGAAAAATAGATTATGGACAAGCCTTAGTCGCACTCAGTACGCACTCAGTGCATCCAAGCGAATACGCCATCAGAAAAGAATCAAAAAATTCAAGCAGCTGTCAGAAATTCGCCTAGTTGTTCAATGTTCAATATATGGCTCTGGTAGTCATAACAGACATTATCCCTACGCCATTCTTCAGAATAAGAGCAATTAGAGTACGAATGTTACCATTCAAACACAAAATTAATAGGTTGGTTAAAATTCAAGCACCAATGTACGACGACTTTGTTTTCAACATCGTTCTCCGACTGCCCAACAAAGAATAATTCGCCTAGTCTCCCTCTTTAGGAATATCTTAAGCTGCGTTCGCTTTGGGCGTTCACACGCTGTAAGAGTCCATTATTTTCCTCGCATTTGACTACGATTGGTTAATTTCTTTAAGTTTAAGGTCGGTATTCATAGTACAACCAAATCAACCAATCAAATCATTCCATTTAGACAAGCCCGTGCGGGGTTTGTTAGTCCCCCATCGGGCGCCTCCCCAGGTGGCGGATTGGGGAACGCTCGCCGGCTCGCCGGTGGGCACCGGGGAAATTAAAAATACCCGGGGTGGACCAAAACTAACAGAAACAAAATGAGCAATGGAGACAACGTTTTCGGTAGAAACTACCCCAGGTGGTATTCCGGATACTCCGGGCAATCCACCCTCTTCGGAGGTCGGCCTCGAGGATTCTGGGGGAGGCCAACTATTGCTCGACAGAGAAAAGACTCTTGAGAAGAGAAAGACTCTTGAGAAGAGAATGCTACCAAAAAATCCAGGCACTAGCAATTATCAAAAAAAAAGTACATCAACATACCAGCAAACAATAGAGGAAACCCTAACTGGGCCAAGACCTAGATCAAACTCCATGAGCGAAGGAATGCTGAGCTCCAAAAGAACAGACAATGGATCAACATTAACCAACAACAACAAGGAGATAAATAAAATACAAAAGGCAGCTAACGAAGAAGGCTGGTCATCCACTCTCAACAAAAACCAGACTAGCCCCGAGATAATAAATAATTATAAACAACCCAAAACGGATAGATACTGGCTTAACACCCCAGTGACTACAGCAAACAGATACAGCATCTTGGAGCAAGACACTGTAAACGAACTCAAGGACAGAACAGAGGAAAGGAGGCAGAAGCCCCCTCCAATATTTATCGCGGGAGTAACTAACATACAATCTCTCACCAACCTACTAAACGACATAGCAAAAACTGATTATGAAATAAAAGTCCTAAACGGAGAGCAAATTAAAGTTCAAGCCAAAGACCCTCAGATATATAGAACTATTACAAAAGAACTTGTAGCGAGAAATACCGAATTTCACACATACAAACCGAAACAAGACAGAAGTTTTAGAGTGGTCCTTAAAAATATGCATTCTTCTACCGATATGGAAGAACTAAAGCAAGCAATAAATAATCATGGACATGAAGTCACGAACATCTGGAATGTAAAGCAAAGAGTGACTAAAAAACCACTGCCTCTCTTTTTCATAGAAATCAAACCCGGATCAAATAATAAAGAGATTTATAAGATCAAAACTCTTCTACAATGCCGAATACAATTCGAAGCCCCCCGGCCAAAGAGGGAAATACCGTAGTGCACAGGGTGCCAACGCTACGGTCATACAAAAAGTTTTTGCTTCAGGAAACCAAGATGTGTTAAGTGCGCAGGTAACCATCTAACGAAGGACTGCGTAAGAAAAGACAGATCTAATAACGTTAAATGTGTACTTTGCGGAGGAAACCACCCCGCAAACTATAGAGGATGCACAATATATAAAGACCTGCTAAGAACTAAATATCCAACACTAAGGGAAAAAAAACCCATATCTGAAAGGCATGAAACACCAGTAAAATACCCAATTAAAAACAAAACAAACATTACCACAAACAGCCCTACCTACGCACAAGTGGCCCGTGAGGGAGTAAACAAACAGAGAGAAGAGACGTACACACAAGATAACCCAAGCCAGAAGACTATAGGGCACCATCAATTAGATGAATCACACCAGTTAAAAGACATGATAGGGGACTTAGCGAGTCAAATCGGAACTCTGCTGAATCTGTTATCAACGCTAATTACTAAACTACCATAATGGCTAAAACACTAAAAATAGGAATCTGGAACGCCAATGGGCTCTCACAACATATACAAGAACTAAAACACTTCCTTAATGAACACAAGATCGATATAATGTTGATATCAGAAACTCATCTAACGCACAAAAGCCATATCAATATTTTCAGATACACGACACATACCACAATCCATCCTGACGGAACAGCACACGGAGGAACAGCTATTATAGTTCGAAACAACATCAAACATTACAAAGTACAATCATATAGTCACGAGCACATACAAGCCACAAATATAAACATAGATGACTGGAAGGGCCCTATCACTATTTCGGCAGTGTACAGCCCACCCAAACATACAATCAAAAGAGATCAATACGTAGACTACTTCAACACACTGGGTAATAGATTCATCGCGGGCGGTGACTACAACGCCAAACACGCGTCCTGGGGATCAAAGAATCCTAATCCTAAAGGTCGCGAATTATACAAAGCAATACAAAATCTTCACCTACAAACTATCTCTACAGGCGAACCTACGTACTGGCCGTCAGATCGAAGGAAATCCCCTGATCTATTGGACTTCGGCATCATTAAAGGAATGTCAAAAATCAACTTTCGGACGCAATCCTGCCTGGAGCTATCCTCCGACCACTCCCCGATTATAATTACGGCTAGTAATAAAGCGATTATCGAAGAAAAATCCTGCAGGCTGCACAACAAAAAAACGAACTGGATCTATTTTCGTGATGAAGTGGGAGCTGAGTTAAACACTAACATAAGCTTGAAAACAGAAGACGATATAGCACTTGATGTTGAGCACTTCAATCATTGCATCCAGCAAGCAGCATGGAACGCAACTCCGAGAGACCGAGAAACTAATGATATAATTAATTATCCCGCAAACATTAGAGATAAAATATCAGAGAAAAGAAAAATCCGCAAACAATGGCAAGCAACCCGATCGCCGCTATTAAAAACAAAACTAAACAAAGCTATCAAGGAAATAAAACATATGCTAAATGATGACAAAAATCAAGGCATACAAAAGTACCTCGAAAATCTCAATCCCACTGAAGCCTCGGACTATTCATTATGGAGAGCAACTAGAAAGCTCAACCAACCACAACGTTTTTTCCCTCCAATCAGTAAGGAAGAGGGAGGATGGGCTAGGAGTCCTTTAGAAAAGACGCAAGAGTTTGCAACCCACCTAGCAAAAGTCTTTACTCCAAACCCTGGTGAGGGCAACAGCGAAGAAGAACAAGAAGTACTTAGAATCCTGAATGATAAGCGTGATCTCGAATTATCAATCAATAAATTCACTAAACAAGAAATAGAAGACGCCATAAGGAAAATAAACCCAAAAAAGAGCCCAGGATACGACTTAATCACAGGGAAGATCCTAAAAGAACTGCCGACGGAAGGTACTAGATTCCTTACATATTTATTTAACGCAATGTTGAGGCTGGCCTGCTTCCCACCGCAATGGAAAGTAGCGCAAATCCTAATGATCTGCAAGCCGGGGAAAAACCCAGAAGAAGTCAAATCATATAGACTTATTAGCCTTCTGTCTATAACCTCGAAGGTATTTGAAATTCTCCTATTGCAAAGAATGTTGCTAATAATTTCATCAAAAAATCTCATACCTGATCACCAATTCGGCTTCCGACACAAGCATTCCATAATTGAACAAGTGCATAGACTAGCCAGAAGGATACATAGAGGAACTGACAATAAAAGTTACTGTTCGACGGTCTTCCTAGACATATCTCAAGCATTTGACAGAGTTTGGCACGAAGGGCTGTTATATAAGATAAAACAAAACCTACCAACGCACTATTCCTATATACTACAGTCTTATCTCAAAGAGCGATTCTTTATGGTAAAACAAGAAGAAGCGATCTCGCAGCTGCACAAGGTGGGGGCTGGGGTCCCTCAGGGTAGTGTGCTTGGCCCAATCCTGTATCTACTGTTTACGGCAGATCTGCCAACCATCAGAGGAATAACTGCTGCTACTTTTGCAGATGACACGGCTCTCATAGCAACTCACAAAAATCCAGTTAAAGCATCCGAAATCTTACAAAGAGGATTAGACGGATTCCAGCAGTGGACGAAGAAATGGCGTATAAAACCGAACGAAGCTAAATCGACACACGTAACATTCACATACGGTCGAGATGCAAGTCCTCCAGTAATTCTCAACGGGCAATTCATTCCCCAAGCAGATGACGCCAAATACCTGGGCATTCACCTGGACAGGAGACTAACATGGAGAAAGCACATTACTGCAAAGCGGAAACAATTAGGAGAAAAGCTCAGGAAAATATACTGGCTGATTGGCCGTAAATCGGAACTTTCAATAAGAAACAAAATACTGTTATATAAAACTATACTAAAACCCATATGGACATATGGTATCCAATTGTGGGGAACATCAGCAAATTCCAACGTGGAGATCCTTCAGCGGTTCCAATCGAAGATGCTTCGTATAATAGTGGATGCCCCCTGGTATGTGACTAACGAAACCTTACACAAAGATTTAGGAATACCAACTATAAAGGAAGAAATTAAAAATTTCGCAATCAAATACAAGGATCGAATCGACTCACACCCTAATCCACTCGCTTCTGGACTGATGGAAGTGTACACACCTACTCGCAGACTAAAGCGAAAACTTCTATATGACTTGACAAAATAATACTCAAGTCGTCATATAGGGTAGTATCAAGGGATACTAGCCCTACTCGTCTTTACTCACTAACAGTCACCAATATTGCTAAATGGCCATGGAGTGGACAGATCGCAATACAATCGGGGATCTTTAAAAAAAAAAAAATTTAGACAAGCGCGTCGTGCATCGTACATCACGTTGTTCCAATGAGAGGATTTCATTAGTTTTACTTTTTAATGATTTTTTGTCCAGTTCAAAAGTCGATTTTTTGTCGATCGAAAATACTTTTTATCGAAATATCTTTTTACCTTGTCGAAAATATGATTACAAAAGTATATTTTTTCGTCAATAAAAATTTATGACATTTAAAAGACATCTCTTCGGCATCTTTTCGTCTAGCTGAAAAAAAACGACTATAAAAAGACATCTTTTCGGTATCTTTTCGTCTAGCCGAAAAGACGACTATAAGAAGACATCTTTTAGACATCTTTTAGCTTTATATACTGTCTAGGAAGTGATTTA